ATAGACTTTATACTAAGAATACGTATCTAAAATTATAAAATGTAGCTTACATATTTGTCACAGTTTGTATAAAAATATCACACTAAAATAAATTAGCCTCATTCATTATATAACCAAGATCTTCACGCTTCACCTTCATCTAACGTATCTGGAAGTTTCTTTCCTCGAGTATCAGGTAATACTAGGCAGAGTCCAGCACCGATTAATGGTACAACACCAAAAGCTAAGGGTGGAAGCCAGAAATACGTCAGTCTTAGTGTAGCTACAAATGGCGCTACCATAGAACCGATTCTTGCTACAGTCGATGCTAAACCAACGCCAGAATTCCGTACAACAGTGGGGAAGAGTTCTCCAGCGTACAAGTATACCGTGGCGAAAGAAATGCTCATGCCCCAAAGGCCGATACAGCCAAGGCTCAAGTGACTAGCACCGGTGTCGGGGACTACCATGATGAGCAGGCAGCTTAGACCGGTGACGCAGTTGGCACTGATCAAAGTCACTTTACGACCGAGGACTCGGTTGGCGTAAATCGATATTAACGTACCAGGAACCTGTAAATGGCGAACAAAATAAAATTAGTATGAATTAAAAATAGTATGTTTTTACAATCTTAATAACCGAAATACAAAATCCACTTGTAATATTATATGAACCTTTATTGTTCATTTAAATCGTGTGTGTAATTTGAAATGCTTTTTACAAGTCTTGCAAGATTTATTGAATAAATCTAATTTGTATTCCAATACAGACAATAGTGTTAAAACAGAATATAGAATATCTGCTTCAAAATTTGTAGGCATATAAGCTTTGCGTATTTAGATTACTTAACAAAAATGTAGGTATCGTAGAAACTATAAATACTTGAAAGTTTTACGTGAATTCCTCATTCTGATAATGTATGCATTTGAAAGTGAGTTATGTAAGGAATTAATAAATATTTATGAAAAGTATTATAAACAAACCGGAACAAAATGTTTACTATGCCTGTCTTGTAAGGATACCGAATTGTGGAGAGCTAAAATGTCGTCGCTTTTTGATTGAATGCCTTTAATATGGTTAGCGGTTTCCTAGCAAATGAACAGATTTTAGATTGAATTTGTCACACCTAACGAGGTCTACAAAATACTGGTACTACCTAACTAATTTAGAACATTCCTAAAAAACTTATTTAATACAATATTATATGTCTATTTTATACCTGAATAGCGGCCGATACTGCGACATTAGAGAATATATCACCAGAGACATGTCCGATGTACTGGGACACTCCGAAGAAACACAGCCCGCAGACGAACCAGTTAAAACAAATAGCAATTGTGCGTGCCCGCAGCTTCGGTGTACGGAACAGAGCTAAGAAAGATGCGTGCTCTTCATCCGCGTTGTTCAATCCCGCTGATATTTTTTGTGTTGTTGTCTCAATTTCATCGGTTGGTAAGCCGTTTCTGGAATATAAATATTTAAGTTTTTACACGTGTATATAACCACTTTCAGTTTCTTAATTACAACTATTTAGTTATGTCAGGCGCCATACTAACTATTACTGTAATTAATTTGTTTTGAAAATGTGACACCGACACCAATTGCAAAAAAAAAATGATCTGTATTTTTAAATAATGGATATAATACTAACCTTTTAGCAGCAGTTTCCATTATAACTGCAGCTTCTTTAGCTTTACCAGCTGTTATTAACCATCTTGGCGATTCAGGTAACAAAAAATAATAACTTAAAAACAAGACTGAAGGCAGTGAAATGGCTAGTTGGAAAGTATTCCAATCTCTTAAGAAATAGCCGAATAGAGGCAATGTTAGATGTCCCAAATTGAAGGGTATCTGATATAATATTCCAACTGTCTCTCTATACTTTGCTCCGATGATTTCCATTATGAGAACGAAACTGCTGACCATTGTGCCGCCAGTGGCGACTGCTAGCAAGAAGCGAAGGATTGTGAACATATACCAGTCCACAGAGAAGGCTGTTGTAACACCCGTGATCAACTGAAGGCAGACAGCCGCGACAAATGGCATCCGTCTGCCAAATCTGAAAGGGCATTACATTTATGATTAGAATCTTATAGACAATAACAAATGAAAGCGAAATAGATATTCAAAGTTTTAGGAAACTTAGAAAGAACCCTAACGAGGACAATAAGTTATTTTATTATAAAGAGAAGCAACAATAGAAATGTATGTCCTTACATCAAAGAGTTAAGCTAAAGTAATGACATCCGGAGTCAGTGGCACTCGATGTTACGAAATGAATACAGGATGTGTCAATTTATTCGAAGTGATCGCGACTGCGCCTTGGCTCCCACGATTACGTGATGCATAAGGAATCGTCGAAAGTAATTTGACTTTCAGAGCTGTTTATTATGATACCAGAGAAGGCAGACTGCCTAATTTATTATTCTCAATACCTCGCGTCTGCAGTAAATTGTAAACATCTTGTGAAGCATTGGTTCACGTTGATGTGTTGATTTTTATTCGGCAGTATTGAAATGCGAATTGTGTAATACAAAACGGCTGCTGACTGCACGTATATACACATTGTTGATAATAATATAGTTTTATAGAGCCATGCTTCGATAATTTTGAAACATTAAAACAAAAAAAAAAGATTCTAGATCCAGAACAAACGAAGATGTTTCAGTTTTATGAGTAATCATTTTTTTAAAAGATACTAACCTGTCAGACAGATGTCCAAACAGCATGTTGCCAACAAGAATGCCCAGCATGAAGATTGTCTGTGTCAAGCTCTTTAACCATTCTCTGTTGCAGACTAAATTCCATTGGGAAATTATCGTCTCGTGAAAGACACTACGATCGTATTGGAAGTCGGTACAATTCTTGTACTCAGCAAGACAGGTGCTTCCAAAATCATTGTCGGAGTTCGCGCAGGTAAAGTTCATGGGTGGTGCTAGAAATATGATACTCATCTGATGCCAAGCTACTGGAAACTTTACAAGGAATATCACGAAGCATATCCATATCTGCCATTTTCCGATTGCACCGATCGCTTTCGTTATAGGATCTTCTGTAATTTTCTGACTCTCAGCATCTTTGTTGTCACGCTCTAACACTGAAGTTAAAAGAAAATTATGTGTAAAAAATTATGATATACAATTATTGAAAAACTACGACAGAGAAAGATGTACAACAAAAGACCATATGTCAGACAACTTCTGCCCGCGTGAATGGGGATCGCTCCTAAAATGTTACTAAATACATATATGTAATGAACATGCGTAACAAGTGAACCTAATTAAAATGTAATTAATGTAAAGCATAAAATAATCTCTTATGTGCGATATGGTGAAGTTTATTTGATACTTAAGTAAGCATACATATTATTGTAAGCTCAAAAGTATTATAATGTAGTAAATGGTTACTATAACGCATAAAGGCATTAAATTCGCTACTTAATGTATTTTAATTTATAACTTACGCATTAAACAAGAATATCATCAATATAATAAACAGGAAGTAGGAATGAAATCTATGTGTTAATTAATGTTTCTTTACATGAAATATCAATTTATTTGATTTAACACATAGCAGTAGCTTAGATCATCATCTTACATACGTTCTTTATTAAATTGTTTGGATTACTTATAGTCACCTTATTTTTTTTTTATTTAATGTTACGAGTTTGCGTAAATGATAAGCCAGTTTGAACTCCGAAGATGCACACATTTAACAAAATTTTCAAAATAAATTCCTTATTAAAATAATTACTTAAAAGTAATCTGGAGAAATAATTAATGAAAAACGGGCTGTTTTTTTAGAATTTGCTGGAAAAAAATAGTTTAAGAGTGAATTTACGTTTTCGTCTGTTTATACAGGTGTTTTATTGAGTACTTTGAGAAATCACTAGAACAATAGCAATTATGTCGAATGCGCGGATTTCACAAAGCAAAAATTTTATATAACTTGAAATTAAAATAAATTTCAACGTACATTTCGGAAACTGTACAGTCAGGTATCGTTTTACAAAGAGGTTTTAAAAGTAAAATTAAAAAGTTACTGTACGTTTACGCATAATTCTTTATTTTTAAACCACTCACCCATTAAATTCATATTGTCTAGTTTATTTTCATCTTCTGAAGTCATGATGAATATGATTAAATTAGCACATCGCCTTTGGAATTTTTCAAACGCGTGAAATGATTTTTATCACGGCGAATTTTTGTCCGTCGCGTCCGCTAACGTGCTGCGTGTAGACGACGAACGGATAGTCTAAAAATGTTTCTAAAGTCGCCCACGCAGCAACCAGCAACATGGGTCCCTCGATTTAGCGTCATTGAATAATGTTTGAATCGTAAATTGGATAATGACTTTCACAGTGACGCTATCGATCTTTGTAACATATTTAAGAAGTGCAAAAGAATGTGTTGATATTTTTTTATAAGATTGTAGATTTGCAGTATATAAAGAACAGCTGTTAGTTCAAACCAATCAGTTAAAGTAATATTATTAGATATTTTAAATATAGGTTAATTAATCAGACATTTAGGTATATACAATAAACTGAACTTTGTACTAATAATATAATGTTTATGTTCTCTAATGACTGTCGAATTACAGATAATTCAGTCTGACTTATATTGATGTGCGGTTTTTTAATCGAGCGTATGTTTTAACCATAATATAAATTGACCCTTCACCTAAGATAGGGCACCGACCGACGGCTCCGCAGACTGATTGTATAATTTTTATCAACAAAATAAGCCAAGCCTCTCCCGATATCAATAATTACTGTGAATCATCAATGGGTTTCGACTGTCGTAACACTTGTATAGACACATATGTCTGTTATTTTTTATGAGGATAATATTCCATATCAATTAATTGACATATTTGAAACTAGATGTCGCCCATCACTTTGCCTCGAATAAACAAAAACTGTTATTAACTTATACGTTATTCCAGATTGCAATCTATCTATGTTCCCTTTAGATCCGTTTATCCGTTCTGACGTGAGATAACATACATCCATCCACTAAAACTCGCATTTATAATATTAGAAAGATAACATCTTATACAATTTAGTTCAAGGTAATTAAAAATAACTGAATATTTTCCAAAAGGCCAAGATTATTTAAATATTTGCATTGTGATTTTATTGAATAATAAACAAAAATGTGCTATTCTCTATTGTTTTATATTTACTTAATAATAAAACAAAATAGTTATATTGTCGTAGATTTCATAACATAAATAACAATTGTTGTATAATAGAAATAATTTAAATTTAAATTACTCGACATCGATTCGAAAATGTACTTTAAATTAGTCTTAAAAACAACACCCTCTAATAAACAGGATAATATATAAAAAAATGCAATATGTTATAAAAGTGTTGCAAAATTTATATTGCGAATTTGGCTAGGACTCATTTGTTATAACGAAATATGTATATGTTTCAAGGTTGTATTGATACGTTAGAAATACATAAGGCTTACTAGACTACCTGTTCCTCGAGACTTCCCTCGCGTGAAACTAAAAATAAAAATATAGCCTATTTTACTCACTGATAACGTAGCTTTTTAACAGTAAAAGAATTTTTGCAATCGGCCCAATAGTTTTTGAGTTATTTCAATACATACAAAAATACAAAACATTCCTCGTTTTGTCTATACCTCACTTTACTATAGATATAGACATCTATTTCTATAATTTCAATTTAATACTAACATAAATGTATCGTAATGTAATGTTTTCACGTCTAGTTTCACATTAATATGCCGACCGGTTTTAAAATTGGT